GAACTCCAAGTGAACTTGGAAAAGTGTATGTATTTTATATATATATATAAATATTTGATTTTCACAAATACAGCACAGTTTCTTAATGACGTCTATTTTATTTTCTCCAGGATATATAATATCAACTTTGTACATGAATACACTATCGTAGTAGGAAAATTTAATGGGTATGATTCAGTTAGTTGCAGTGGAAAATCAAAGGGAACCAGACAAGAATTTTCATTCGATGAAATGTTCCCAGCAACTGTTAGCCTGAAAAATATTTTTGTAGAGTTAGCTCTGTTAGACCAGTCCACTTAGAAGAGTATAATGTCTGTGTAGCTGACTCATTTATTAATAGTATCTTTAGCTGACATTTCAAAGACGTTGATATTACTAAATGTATCTCCTTTAGACGAATATTATAATGAAACATTGAATTTATTGAGATTTGCTATCAATGTACACAATTGCTAATCCCAAAATAGAAAAAGAACGTGACTAATGTTATTATCCTATGAGCATGACTACAAAAACACTATACAAAGTTCCAACAAATAGTAATAGTATAGACAGATATCATATTTTGTTAAAGAAATACAAATAAGAGTGAAGGTAAATTTATATGGTATATAGCAATTAAATCATTAGTTTTTAATGTTTAATATATTAACTGGCATATAATATTTATATACCAGTATTATAATGCAACTTGTTTCATTAATAGGATTTACCAAAAGGAATGGTTATAATTTTATGCAAATATCACTATTAGAAATAAATTCAAATTTGTCCACTATGTTGAAAATTAATTTTAATGATTTCACACAATTAGAAAATTTTATTGACTTTGCAATTGAAAAAACACTCAATTCCAATTAGAGAAATAATAAGAGTTATTCTCTGGTAAGAAAGTATGTCCACAAGGAAAAAGCAAAATTGACGGATATGGATGAATATGTGAATGTGTAATATTATGGGAATAAGAAAGCTATATGCCAGAAAGTGTTTGAGACTATGAATGTTGTAATGACATCCTGCAGTGATGAAGGAATCAAGTAAGAGACTTCTAAATTAAGACTTAATTACTTAGAAAATTTTTAAGAATGTTTTCAAATAAAATATTACGAATTAATATTATAAATTTTATTACAAATTTGTTAATTTATGATAAGATTTATGATATAAATTGTTAAATGTCATAAATTTACAAATTTGTAATATAAAAATTTAAAATATTACAGGATTCTTTTATATTACATGATAAAAATGAAATTTTGCTTAAAAAAAATTCGTTTTCTTGCAGATTTACGTCGCATACTTAAGCATCAAAGTCCTTGGTGATAATAGAAGTGATAGCTAATGTTTGGAAATCCATGTTACCTGCGAAAAGATGATAATAGGTTCGATCTTGTTAAATGAATTAAAAAGTAATTTAAAGATCAGTTAAATATTTTCAATCTATAGTCAAAGACTAAATATATTCCTAATCTATTTATAATACTTGTATAAAATAAATATAAGACTTGTGATGATTAAATACATATATTTATATATATACATATAGTTTAATTATATATATATTTATATATAGTTTAATTTCACACGGATATACACTAATTAGGTATACAAATTTAAATATAATATTTTTATTATGAGATCATTAAATCTTTATAAGAAACTAAGATTACTGTTTAGTAAAATATAAATATATATATTCGTATGCATATATCAATTTTGTAAATCACACTGAAATATTTTTTTACTTAATTACTCTGTATTATCATAATTTACATTTTTTCAAAAAAATAGGAAGTATTCCGAAATTAAATAAACTGGCTGTGTATAAATGTACTAGGTTATCCGGAAGATTCATAGCGACAGTTAAGATTGATTTAACTAAAATTAAACTCTAGTCATTTATAATTTCACAAGTGTTTTCTCGAAAACACGAAAGTTTTTAGAGTATAATACTGATCTTTCCATCTGATATAAAAAAAGAAAATATATTAACAATAACTTTTAATATTTTCAAATAAGCAACAACTGAATTAGGAAAATTAAGGAAACAACGTTTATTTTTTTATATAGAGTGTTAGATATCGAAATTTACTACTTGATGAATACCTTTTTAAAAAATTTTTAATAAAATAGTTACAAACCTATGCCCATTTAATATTTCTCTTAGAATTATTCATAAAATACATTGCTACAGCCTGATCGTTTAATTTTGAAATACATATTTTATCATAACATACATATACTTACCATAAATTATTTTCATAAATTAAGTATATTCAAAAAGTTATTGAATGTATATTTTACTAACTCATCTGGAAAAAGTGATTTTTATTGATTAAAATATTTAATTAAATATCAATTAATGACACTATAAAAATAATAAACTATTGATAATTTGATAATCGGAAAATTATAATTCGGAACAACTGATAATCTTTATTTATTGTTGTTTAAGTTTCAAACTGCTAATGAAAATTAAATAGAATCGACACATTCAGGTATCGATACGTGTATCGACTTTAAAATATAACCAAGTATAAATACATATATCAGTGATTACTATTGGCCAAATCTTTTCTATGTCTTCAAATGATTGGTTCTCAGCTCTCATACTATACTCCTCTGATTGGCTACATTCAAGCAAATTCAAGTTTAAATAAATGCAGTTGTTTAACAGCTTAACCGACTCTTGAATGCTGTGAAGTGAAGTAAACTGTCGTTTCTTTCTTTCTGTACAAGTAACATTATTAGTGTGATTTTGTGTATGCGAACATAACAAATTAGGTAATATAATTTAAAAGTAAACAAATAATTGATAAGTGTGTAACTACGAGTGACTTAATTGTGTTCTTTTGTTGAACGAGGTTTGTTTTGTCAGATAGTTGTTTATATCAATCGTACACATCAATTTTTTGTCATGTATAATATATTTTCAATTTCACGTAATCCACTATTTAACTAACTACATTTGTTTTATTGTTTTGAATAAAATGTGGCTTGGGGCAGCATAAACAGTAAAGGGGGGTCTTGTCTGCTAATGGATGTTGTAGTTTGGTAATAATTAAACAGTACACTGGAAATATTGGTTTTGCATGTATGGGTATGAGTTAAATGTTTTAAAGCATGTAGTTTCTTTTTTTTATTATTGTATTAATCCAAATAATTGATCTTCATGTTTAGATGGAATCACGCTTGCCAAAACCAAAAATTAATTTATCAAAAGTAATTAACAGCACAGTAAACATTGCTACAGACAAAGATAATAAAAAAATGGTAAAAAGCCAAAATGATCTACCCCATGCAAGTTCTAGTGCTGTTCCTGAAAGACTGACAAAAGCCAAAAGTACAGTAAATATAGCAAAATGTTCAAATGAAAATAAACCTCCAATTAAACAAACTTTAAGTAGATCGAAGACTATGTCTTCCATTACTACCAGAGCTGTGAAAAGACCAGCTGTTGCAGCTATTACACATGGCGAAACCAAGAGACAATTTGCTAAGCCTCCTACTAAAATAAGTACACAGCAAGTTGGTAGTACATTAAGAAATAATACCACCAATAAGTCTAGTCAGAATATCATAGCCCAGAAGGTACAATGCAGCAGTAATGCAGCTAAGCCTTCCAAATGGGACTTAAAGGGTCGATTGGCCCACACCAGTAATGAGTTATCTAATATACGACAGAAATATGCAGAAACTTCAGCAAAATATAATGAACTTCAAGAACAAATGAACACATTAAAGGCAAATGAAAATGTACATAAACTAAAAGCAGAAGAATATGAAAATTTGAATAAGACATTAGTAAATGAATGCAGAGAATTAAAAGCAGAAATGAGTAAATTGCAAGAAGAAAAAGAGAATTTGTCAAAATGTTTGAAAGAATCAGAGGAGTCATGTAAAAGCATTTCAAATACTTTAGTAGAATTTAAACAAAAATGCTCGTCTCAAGAGTCATTAATATCACAACATGAATTTATAATAAAGGATCTAAAAGCTAGTTTAGAAGTTGAAACAGAAAAGAATAAAGAATTAAATGCAACTAAAAATGAGTTACAAACATTGGTTC